CCACTTTCCTGATCTACTGCTTTCCTGCATCTGGACCCCTCCCCACATACTCTAGCACTAACCTAGCTTAAGTAATGCACTCTCCTCCCTGAGGCTTTTATCAATCCCCTTTTTCGGAACTAATATCCCCCTCCCCAAGTCCGTTCCTCTCCTACGCCTTGTGGTTTACTTCACACACTCTCCAATTCAACTGTAAATCTACTGCCTGCAGAAGCATTCTTACTGTCTATGCTCTCCAGCGTGTGCTGACACACGGTGAGGGCTCAGAAACAATAGTCTGAAGGATTCCCTTGGCCAGCATCCTTAGTTTCCATCAGCGAAACTCCTCCCACCTGCCTTTTCAATCTATCCCACTCCATGGGATCCTCCCGGCACAAGACAATGGCTAAGAGGATGGGCTTTGGAATTCCCCCCCCCCTTTTTTTTTAAGATTTATTTATTTGAGAGAGACAGAGTGCGTGTGGGGTGAAGGTCAGAAGGACAGGGAGATGGGAGAGAGTCTCAAGCAGACTCCACTTAAGCCCAGAGCCTGACCTGCCACTCGATCTCACGACCCTGAGATCATGACCTGGACTGAAATCAAGAGTCTGACACTCAACCGCCTGAGCCACCCAGGCGCCCCTACTGATACTTGCGTTTTAAAAGTTCACGATACTACTAGGAATCCCCTAAATCAATGACTTCGCTTCTAGTTCCATCCTGATCTTTCTGCAAAACCTGAACGCTAAAAATAAGCCCCACCTTTTAATGAGAAAACCCTCCTTCTCTTCTGGACTCATTCCCAACACCCTTTCATCCCAAGGCAAACCAAAAACTCCTAAGGCTGGAGGCCGTCGTCTCCCACCTGCTCCGCACACCCCCTACAGCTGCCGCAAGGCCCCCTCTCCTGAAGCAACACACACTCCCACATGCCGCCGTCCTTACGAGGGTCCTCCGGACTCACCCTCTCTGCAAGCCGCACTCAGCCTCAAGGCCCCGAGCCCAGGGCAGTCCCGAGAAGACTTCCTTCTCCCCGCCACAAGCCCCCAGAAGTGTCCTCCCGCTCCCGGCTGCCGACGCAGGCACCAGGCCCACTGCGTCTTCGGCCATCGGGCGCTGTGCTCGCTCCGCTCCCCACCCAGGCGCTTGGCGACCAGCCCTCCCTCCCGCGGGCTAGGACGAGATTCGTGCAAGGAACGCCCGATCTTCAAGTCATTTCCCCACCTTCTGACCTTCTCCAGCAAACTACCGCACCAACTTCTCGCAATCGCCCAAGGGGCCAGCAGGCAGAGCGGGGGCAGCGGGGGCGACCCCGCGCGCAGGACGGGGGCAGGGTGGCCTGGGGCGCCCGTGCGGGTGCGGGGCGGAGGGGGCTTGCCTGAGGAGACCCGCGGGCAGGCCGGGTGGCCTGGGGCGGTCCCGCGGGCAGGGCGGGGGCTACGTGGGGAGAACCCGCGGGGTCATCCGCGGCGACCCTGCAGGCAGGGCGGGGGTACGGAGGGGCCCACGGGTAAGGCGACGGTACAACAGGGGCCCAGGGCAGGGCGGGGACCACCCGGGGCGACCCCGCGGGCAGGCCCGGGGGTACCTGAAAGGCCCCGTGTGGGCGCGCCACGAAAGAGCCTCCTCCACGCCGCCGCCGGGTGTCCAGAGGTGATGCAACGCTCTGACAGCGCGGGGCAGGGAGGAAAAGGCAGGGCCACGCCGGCCAATCAGCGTGCGCCGCCGCCCACCCATCAACAAGCCGGACGCCGACTGGTCGCGCGGGCTCCGGCCCCGCCTACCCTGGCGGCAGGGCCGTGCGCGCCCCCTCGCAACGCCTCCCTGGGGGGCGGCGGTGGCTCGGCGCCCTCCGGGCCGTAGACGGGGGCTCGCGGGCGGTGGCTGCCGTGGTGTCCGCTGACTGCGCGCTTTACGCGGTGTGCTCGTGCGTGTCACCTGGCTGCGCACAGCACACGTGCATTTCCCTACGCGCAAACGGGGCGACTGCACCGTGCGGCCCCGACCTGAGTGACCGTAGCAAGGTTCAGGGTCGCGGAGACCTGCGGCGGGGCACCGCGGGGTCGGTGAAGCCGCACGGCCCCGGGGCTGAGACCGCTGCGCGGCCTGGGCCGGAGGCGCGCGCCAGGCCCCCGCAGCCCCTCCGGAGCTCCCCTGCATCCTCCTGCACGAGCTTTGGTCAAGGGCCACGTGCAGACACGTAACAGGAGGGAAGAGAACGAAATGCCTGCTGACCAAATTTAGTTATCCCTGTGTAACGTTTCCTGTGATGAAAGCAAAGTTTATCTGCTTTTTTATCCATCTGCTCGCTTACAATGTATTATCTCTGCTGTGGGTCTGCCTGGCACCTTCCGGATCCGCTGCTTAAAAACCAAAGGGAAGGGCGCCTGGGTGGCTCAGTCGGTTGGGCGACTGCCTTCGGCTCAGGTCATGATCCTGGAGTCCCGGGGTCGAGTCCCGCATCGGGCTCCCTGCTCGGCGGGGAGCCTGCTTCTCCCTCTGACCCTCCTCCCTCTCATGCTCTCTGTCTCAGATAAATAAATAAAATCTAAAAAAAACCCCCAAAACCAAAGGGAAGTTGGAGCCACGCAAAGGGCAGCGGACCTCGGGCTTTGGCACCAGAGACTGAAGGAAAGTTTAGGCCTTCAAAGTGCAGAGTAACTCTGTAGCAGCTGACTGCATCCGTTAGAGGGGCAGAAAATTACGAGAGTCTGTAGAAGGCACAGCACGTTTAAGAACACTGAGAGTTTGTGCAAGCATTCATTCAACAGTCACTTACACTCCAGGATGAGAGTCAGGGGGTCTCACTACCTTGATGAAATGAGAAACTCTAGGTGGGGACATTTATTTTCTAGAGGTGTTTCTTCAGCTTACTAACTAGAAGTTCTCCACTTTGTGCAGTTCATTTTTACCATCTGTCCAGACAGCCAGATTAGAGCAGGATAGAAGGCTCCCAGATAGATGTGTCCAGGAAAAAAGGTGGGGACAACAGGTCTGATCATTTAAAACATTGAGAAACATTTTATGGTACTGAGAAACATTTTATGGTACTGTTGAAAGATATAAATCCATAAAGAGGTTGAGCAAGTGGAAAAAAAGATTCTAGAAAAAAAGTTATATGTCAAAATCCACAACTTGGATCAGAGTTGACTCCTCACTTGTTAGAGTAGGAGACAAAAGGTAATGCCTAAAACTGAAAAACCAAGAAGACGCCTTGGTGGCACCGTTGGTTAAGTGACTGACTTGGTTTCAGCTCTGGTCTTGATCTCTGGTAATGAATTAGAGCCCTGCATCCAGCTCTGTGCTCAGTGTACAGTCTGCTTCAGATTCTCTCTCTCTCTCCACCCTCCCCCACTCGTGCTTGCACAAGGGCACGCACTCTCTAATAAATCTTAAAAAAAAAGAAAAACCAAGAAATCACAGCATAAGCATGTCAGGTAATGGAGAGAAGCATCAGAGAACACAAATAAAATTGTTGAAGATGGTTGTATCTGGGGAGCAGGAATTAGGGGTGGGCAAGGATACTTGATGTCACTTGTCTGTTTTGAAGATGGCGGGTGTGACAAATTTAAATATGGCCAAATTCTTTGACACTTCTCCCACTGAGAGGTGATGGTCTGTGTCCCCTTCTCTTTGGTTCTGGCTGGGCTCTGTTGTGACCTGTAGAATATAGTGAAAAGAGACTGGCACCTTCTGCTTCTGACACCTAGTCACCATGCTGGGAGGAAACGCAGGGACAGGCACTGAGTGAGCAAGCCATCTTAGAAGTGGATCCTCCAGCCCCAGTTGAGCCATTTCGGTGACACTACAGGGAGGAGGAATGAGGGGTGCCAACGGAGTCCTGACCAAATTGCTTATTTGTGAGCAAAATTATTTTACTGGGATGACCTGTTATGCGGCAGTAGGAATGTATAAATGTAATCTGCATCAAGAGATGGTGGAACATTTGGATTATTTATCCTGCTGAGTGGTGGTTTTTCTGTTTTCCATCAAGTCTTGGAAACAGGAATCCCAAAAGACTCTTCAGCTGCTTACTTCTTTGGACTTATTTCAAAACAACCCTCAGTTTGTTCCCTGTATTTAAGAGTCTCTTATGGTTGGCCTCCCTTTCTGTCTTTATCTTATTTAGTTGCTGGAGGGGAGGTCGGGGGATGGGGTAACTGGGTGATGGGCATGAAGAAGGGCACTGGATGTAATGAGCACTGGGTGTTAGATGGACCTGATGAATCAATAAAGTCTACCCCTGAAAGTAATACTACACTACATGTGAACCTGAATTTAAATAAAATCTTGAAAGAAAAAAAAAATGTACCAAGCAACCACTCTGTGCTAGACACGGTTCTAGGCAGTTGGGACACAATGGTCAATAAACCAGATGACATCCCAGCCCTCTAGAGTTTATATTCGGTCAAGATATAAATTAATAAATACTTTAATTCCAGATATACACATTGTGGCTCAAGGACCATCCCTGGGGGCTGTCTATATAACACAACTCTGAACAGCGTGCAGTTTGACAGGCATACCTGTCTTGAATCCTAACCAGTTTGATTTAAGGAAATATTAAATCTGCCTCCCTCTTTGGACTCAAGAGTCCTGACAGCTAACTTGGATTTTTCATAAGCCTCTGGTTAAACCAGAGTTTTGGGATTAATGGGCTCACCTCCCATCAATTCCTGGAGGCCAAGAACAGGAAAACTCTACTTGGCATCCTTCCCTGGTCCTCACAGAACTCTTCTATGAGGCTTGTCTGAAGTGTCTTGCATTTCAGTTAGTTGTTCATCAGGACAGAAGTACAGAACTGAGGCTGATCTGTATTCAACTTTTTTTTTTTTAAAGGTTTTATTTATTTGACAGAAAGACAGCCAGAGAGGGAACACAAGGGGGGCGGGGAGAGGGAGAAACAGGCTTCCCACGAAGCAGGGAGCCTGATGAGGGGCTCGATCCCAAGAACCTGGGATCATGACCTGAGCTGAAGGCAGACGCTTAACGACTGAGCCACCCAGGCGCCCCTATTCAACTTTTTTTTTTTTAAAGACTTTATTTATTTATTTATTAGAGAGCGAGCGAGCGAGAGAGAAACAGCATGAGAGGGGGGAGGGTCAGAGGGAGAAGCAGGCTCCCCGCCGAGCCGGGAGCCCGATGTGGGGCTCGATCCCAGGACTCCGGGATCATGACCTGAGCCGAAGGCAGTCGCTCAACCGACTGAGCCACCCAGGCACCCCCCCATTCAACTTTTTAAAAAAAGGACAAAATGGAGGTAAAGTATATTTTATACAATGAGAAATAAATATTTCAAGTAGCATATAATTTACACAAAACTGAATTTGGAAAATATAAGTGCTCTTACCCATACATTTAAAGACTTTATGTAAACCCCGCATTAGAAATACCTAGTAGTTACTGAGAATAGCACAGAGATTATAATATAAAAAGCATTTTGGGGGATTGTCTTGTGCTTTGTTAGGAAAAAAAAAGTTCAGGTTATTTTTTTGAAGAGTTACTTAGGAAGAGATACAGAGGAAAGCCACAGAAAAAGATAGCAGAGTGATATCCATCAGGCAGATTTTGAATACTCCTTCACTGTGAGTTCTTCTCATTTAAAATTATTTTCTGTATCACCCAGTTTCCATAGGTGAGCCTTCTTCACATTTGTATCAAAACCAATGCTGACAGTTATTTTGGTTTCACTCTCCTTTTGGCATCTTTATGTTTCTTCCGGCAGTCCTATAAAAACATATCAAGCCTTTGTTAAAAATAAATGTAAATCATTTTCAAGATGTTCTGTAACTATATAGTAAAATTTAGATTATTCAATGTCAGGATTATGGAAACCATTATGGGAGTTGTCTATAATTGAAACTGTATTTTAGTCTTCCAAAAATCTCATGATTTACTGTTACTTAACAAGCATGGCTGGAACTTGGGCCCCTAAGTCGGCTGTTCTGCAGACTGCTAACCTGCACCAGGTGTAGCCTGACCTAAACAATGCCCCTCCCTGCACTGTGAGCATTTAAATCATGGTCTCAGGTGTCATCCTTTGTGTCTTCAGGTTCACACCTTACTCTCACTCTCTTACACCAGACAAATATTAACACAAAAATAGCACGGCATCTATTTTAGGAGACAATCAATATGGAGACACAGTTACTCACCATCCGCAAGTTGTTTGTTCTGGCCTCCCAAGAATTCCTGCTAATATTATTCCCCACTCCTCTCCAGAATAAATCAGAACCTACTAGGGGAACATAAAAAAAAAGACAAGGCAGGAGATTAATGCCTTTAAAACAGATGGTGTGTTGGGGCGCCTGGGTGACTCAGTTGGTTAAGCATCTGCCTTCGGCTCAGGTCACGATCCCAGGGTCCTGGGATCGAGCCCCGCGTCCGGCTCCCTGCTCCGCGGGAAGCCTGCTTCTCCCTCTCCCACTCCCCCTGCTTGTGTTCCCTCTCTCGCTGTCTCTCTCTCTGTCAAAAATAAATAAAATCTTTAAAAAAAAAAAAGAAAATGTAGCACTGCTAGGATTTTACTGTTTATGTATCATTTACCATTATGTGTCTTGGTTTCTGTTTGTACCAGGCTTTAAAAAAAGAGTTCACCAAGAGCCTGAACTTTCAGGGTCCTAAAAACAGGAGTTTTGCATGTCTAGCATCTAAGCAGGTCCCTGTAACAAAGAAGTCCTTGTTGATGATACTGAATGAGGGAGGGAGGGGTGGAAAGGAGCCCTCAGCCCTCCAGGGCTTACTAAGCCAACCTGCATCAGTCTAACAGGAACCACTAAACCACACGACAGGGAAAAGGATCACAATTTTTGCCAAATACTTCTTTCTTGGATGCATGTGACTCTATTGGAATGCGCAGTGGTAAGAACTATTTCCTGTTCTATACCATTTAATGGAGAAATGGACTTACCATGAAGTCTTTCATCATTCTTAGAAAAAAAGAAAAATCTAGTGGTCTCTTTCTCAGGTAATGATACTTCTCTAAAGCAAAAGAGAAGAGAGAGAGAGAGACAGACAGACCTGGGTTAATTTCAATATTTCAGATGAAATGTTTACACTGAAAATATAAATGAACTATTCCTTAAATAGACCTGCTTTATGTTTTGCTCATTTTGCCCTGATTTAAAATGACTCCACCTTCTCTCTATTCAACATTCTTCTCTCGTATCTGAAGCTTTGGTAACAAGGACTGTTTAAGTCTCACACTGGTTGCTGATGGTCTCATCCCACTATTGCTATCCCATCTGCCAGTGTTTCCCATGGGATAGGTCCAGGGTCCTCCTTCCAGACCCGGGACTTCATAACCCCCACCCAGTGCTACCCAGGTTGAAGAGAAAACATGCTCCCCGTCACAAAAAAGCTCGAGAACTCTGAAGGAGCTGAATAAGAAAATTAAGTTGTCTTGCATACTTGCATCAGCATGTCTAACTCGGGCTTTACACCAAAAGAAGCTGCTTACCTGGGGCTGGGCTCCCTGTCTTCTGTTTCTTCTTCGGCAACATCCTCCTCTTCGGAACTGCTATCTTGGAAACGAGGGGCTCCCTGCCAGACAACCTTCCCGGTTTTCACCGGCTCAGCTTTGTAGGCATCTGTATTGTTGTGACAAAGGAAGGGGACAGGACTGTAGCTGCACACATTCATTGGTCACTTTCACCATGCACACATATCTCTACGTGTCCAGGACCTTAACCGTTGATTTAAAATAGGTAGTATCGTTTTTGATTTTCAAATATTAATTGAGAGAACGTGTCCTATTTTTTGGCATTGCCAGGGTGATTTGATAAGGAATATAGAAAGAGCATAGAAAGACATAAAAACCAAAGGTTTATAAATGGGCAACATGATTTAAAAGGAACCACCTATGTTAGCAAGAGCTGCCTAAAATAGAGCACGATGCAGTGAGACCAGCTGCCCCTCCTGGTTATTCATCAACGAGGAAAGGAACACATGTGTACACTTTCAATTCCCAAACCCTCTTTCCAGAACTGCTGAAAAGGCTGTGGACAGTGCCCCAAGTTCCCCAAGCACCGAAATCACACCTCCCAGGTTGCTGAGGGGTCTCGCTCATTTCAAGGCTGGGTTCTCACACCTGGCTCTCAGCTGGAGGAATTAGAGTCAGTGTGACACCAGCTCTGCTCAGCAGTTTGCGACAGACGCTGGTGGTCCGATGGACAACACAGCAGAGCACAGGATGCATCACCGTGTCTTACTTACACAAATTCTGAAACACTGGATCTCTGCACCTCGGGCTGCAGGACCACAGAACTGACATAAATACTCATCTGCTAACACGTGGATGGATGCTACGTTAACTGCTAATCTTTAATGCAGCACACGTTGTGGTTAGGTGGGCACGTACTCTCCGAGATGCAGACATCCTGTTTTTTACAGTGAACTTCCAGGAAAGCTGCACTTCCGTCGTGAACACCAAGTGAGGAACAGCAATCTCCCTTACCAGGGGAGACTATCACTAAGTAACAGGCGTTTAACTTTCCGCTCATGTTGGCCTTTACAGGTAAACCTCCTGAAATGGAATGTGAAATTGTACGTACTGGGTTTTTTTCTCTCCAGGTTCTGGCACATTTCCAAGGACAAAGTCTGAAAGAACTGACGTATTGAGGACATAGTGTACCTGTGGAAAGCCAGGGTGGCCTATTTCCTCCTCTCCCCACCAGATGGCACGGGCTTTCCACAAGTCTTGCTTCTTTTAACTGCATGTAAGGCACGAAGCTGTTTAAACAGGGGACTTACTATATACTTCCTCGTGATTATTTCCACTCAGAAGAAGGAATGCTGCACATTACTCTCGGGCTTCCCTTCTCATGGCACCTAACTAGACGTTTGCTCCCTTAAGTGCAAAAACAATCTCTTGCTGTTACTCACAGCTCCTGGCATGTTGTTTTGGCCATATGATATCAAATCTCATACTGTTCATTTAGGTGGAAGAAAAAATTCTTTCTTCAGCTGATGTTACATCATTATGCTTAATGTACACTCAATCCATCATGTTCAAGCTGCCTGAAGTGAAAACCTTAAAAAAATTTAAAAGTACCTTCCTTTACATCTCTAGCGTCTGAATCAAAAAAGGAGAACGTGAACCCTCCAGGCTGCTTGGCCGCTGGGGTCAGAGTGGCCGGGTGGTAGGTGTCAACTTTCTCGCCATCGCGATTCTCACTAGAGGGTGTGTCGTCTGCTGTTTCACTGGTAACTTCTGTAGTCTGAAATATTTCCTTTATGTCCGCAGCAACGCTATAATACATCTCTTTAGACACTTCAGGCAGCTTCTCGGCCTCCTCCCTTTGTTTCCTCCGTTTTGCTTTACTGCAGTGACATTAACAGACACGTACATCACAAAGAGACCATCAGTTGCCAGAGATTAGGAGAACAACACCTTAGAAAACTAATCCCATTCTTTCAACAACGAAGAGCATCCACATATAAAACTCTATTCATAAAAGCAAAACCCTTCTAAAACTAATGATGTAATGTATGGGGATTAACATAAGAATAACAAAAAAAAAAAAGCAGAACCTTGATCAATAAGCTTTAATTTTTTATTTTTTAAAGATTTTATTTATTTGACAGAGAGACAGTGGGAGAGGGAGAGCAGGCTTCCCGCTCAGCAGGGAGCCCGATGTGGGGCTCGATCCCAGGACCCTGGGATCACGACCCGAGCCGAGGGCAGACGCTTAACCGACTGAGCCACCCAGGCGCCCCTGACCAATAAGCTTTTAATACACAAAACTATGTCAAAAAGCTCCAAGTATTACACACGAATCATATCCTCCTCTATCCTCGGAGCTACATTCCAGAAATCACACATAATATACTAGCTTTAAGTAACAAAATCATTCAGCAGCAATAGGCCTATTACCTCACCTGCAAAACAAACATGCTACACCAGGTAACTTCTAAGTTCTAAAATTCTGTGAGTTTTACAAAATTGGTGTAAAAGAATTTAGTCATAATTAAGTTTTAAAAAGGAACTGTAAATGTGCTAAGTCTACTTTGTCTTGATATGAAATGTTGATGTTACTATATACCTGTTCTGCATTTATTTTCTCTTTGATCTCAAACAAAAAGTTACATGGCTGTTTGCCAATACTGAATTTTAGTTATTAAAAGATTAAAATCCTTTTTCTTATCAGAGTCCTCTCCACATATCATGAGTAATATTGGGCCAAAATTCTAACTGTATTAGCTAAAATAATAAGTTAACAAGATATCCTAACTGGTTATCTGATTGGGGGAGACTATTGTGTAAAGAAACTTTTTTTTTTTTAAGATTTCTATATTTATTTATTTATCTGAGAGAGAGAGAGAGTGCGCACAAGCAGGGGGAGCAGTAGGGAGAGGGAGAAGTAGACTCTCTGCTGAGCAAGGAGCCCGACATGGGACTCAATCCCAGGACCCTGGGATCATGACCCGAGCCGAAGGCAGACGCTTAATGACTGAGCCACCCAGGCGCCCTGGAAAGAAACTTTTAATACTTCATTTAAAACACCAACCTGGCTAGGATTTAAAACAGGGATGCCTACGAAACTGAGCACTATGAAAAATGGTGTACTTTAGGCAGTTCCATGTGATTATCCTTGAGCCACCATGTGGTGGTTTTAAAAGTGGTCCAAAGATCCTTTGATCCTTTTTAAAGATGTGGAAGTTAATTCCCCTGTTCCCTAGCTCAGGCCGGACTTCCTGACCCTGTGAGGAATGCACTAAGGCAGATGAGATGACTATGAGGGTCAGAGAAAGCACTGGAGCGCTCTCCTTGCGCGCTCCCCTACAGATCACCGGCTTTGGGGGAAGCCAGCTGCCATGCTGGGAGGGCACGCCAACAGCCAAATGGAGATGCAAGGAACCGAGGCCTCCAGCCAACAGACACGTGTGTGGGCCAGCCTGCAGGTAATCTCCTGACAGCCCCTCAGCCAGAACTACCTAGTGAAGCACTCCCAAATTCCTGACCCACAGAAACTGGGATCTAATAAATCTTTATAGCTTCAAGCTACTGATTTTTGGGGACGTTCTTCTACACAGCGATTCATGACTGATGCAGATTTTGGTACCTAGACGTGGGGTGCTGCTCTAACAAAAACCCAAACCGGAGGAGGGGCTACAGAGCCAGGTAATGGGCAGGCGTCGGAAGGCAGCAAGGACCGTGCCAGCAAGAGCCTGAAGAAACTGTCAGGAGGAGTCACACAGCCACTGAGGAGGCTGCGTGTCAGCTGCAGGACGGTGAGGGAAATGCTGTTGGAACCAGAGGAAAGGGATCCCTGCTCTGCCACAGTACAACACTGAGCAGCATGGGCCACCTCCTTTAAAGCAGAACCAGGGAAGTGCCTGCTAACAGGGTGCTAGCTAGGGAGACATGTGGGAGGGTCTGAAGGTATCTGCTGTTCACAGTACAGCAGGAGCAGACACTGAAACCAGAGACATTCCTTTTCTTTTCTTTTTTTTTTTATTTTATTTTATTATTATTTTTGTTTATTATTTATTTATTTGAGACAGAGAGAATGAGAGAGAGCATGAGAGGGAGGAGGGTCAGAGGGAGAAGCAGACTCCCCGCCGAGCAGGGAGCCCAATGCGGGACTCGATCCCGGGACTCCAGGATCATGACCTGAGCCGAAGGCAGTCGCTTAACCAACTGAGCCACCCAGGCGCCCGAGACATTCCTTTTCTTTTCTTTTCAAGATTTTCTTTATTTATTCGATGGAGAGAGAGACAGCGAGAGAGGGAACACAAGCAGGGGGAGCGAGAGAGGGAGAAGCAAGCTTCCCGCCGAGCAGGGAGCCCGATGCGGGGCTCAATTCCAGGATCTCGGATCATGACCTGAGCCAAAGGCAGTCGCTTAACCGACTGAGCCATCCAGGCGCCCCAATACTTTTATTTTTTTTAAAGATTTTATTTCTTTATTTGACAGAGACAGACACAGCGAGAGAGGGAACACAAGCAGGGGGAGCGGGAGAGGGAGAAGCAGGCTTCCCGCTGAGCAGGGAGCCCGACGCAGGGCTCGATCCCAGGACCCTGAGATTATGACTGAGCCGAAGGCAGTTGCTTAACCAACTGAGCCACCCAGGCGCCCCAATACTTTTATTTTTTAAAAAGATTTTATTTCTTTATTTGACAGAGACAGATACAGCGAGAGAGGGAACACAGCAGGGGCAGTGGGAGAGGGAGAAGCAGGCTTCCCGCAGAGCAGGGAGCCTGACACGGGGCTCGATCCCAGGACCCCAAGATCATGACCTGAGCCGAAGGCTGATGCTCAATGACTGCGTCACCCGGGCGCCCCTAAAGACATTTCTTTAAGGAGCCAGGACTTCATGGTTTTGAAGACCCCTAATTTCTAGAAGGCAAATGACATGAAATTTAAGAAATGGCCTCTAAGCAAAGATCCAATCTAAGACACAGGAAAACACGGTCTATAGCAGGTGTTGGTCAAGCTGGGCCCCAAAGACCAAATCCAGGCTGCTGCCTATTTATGTGTGCATTGCTGGTTAAGAGTACCTTTTATGGTTTGAGATGATTGTAAAAATAAAAAGATGGTTTTGTGACGTGGACAGATTATGTGAAATGCAAACCTCAGTGTCTGGCTAATAATTTTATCAGAACACAGCCTCCCTCACTAGCTCACGTACCACCTGTGGCTGCTTCCACAAGGCAGAGTGGAATCACTGCAATAGACAATACACTTACTGTCTGATCTTTAACAGAGAAATTCATAGACCTCAGTCTAAATATAAAGCAAAACGCTTTGTTAAGACCCTAGTCATAGCTCAAAAACCTCAACCGTTTGGCCAGTGAGGCTCCTAAGGACTTTACAGATGGTGTCTCAGCAGAAGCCCACAGTAAAATGACCGGTGGCTTCTGCCTCATGGGCGTGACCCTCAAGAAGATCACAGGAGACCCACAAATATTTTAAGAGAAATATATTAGCAGAAACACCACTTGGATTGACAGGTACATTCTACAATGACAAGGCTTTTGGATGCCCACATTTCTAAAAGTAAAAAGCAGGCTGAGAAAATCACTCAGCCACAAACGCACACCACCATTCACAAAAAAGGACGGATGATCCCGAAGGCAGAGTCAAGAACCACACAGAATTATCACCAGGCCTGTGGTTCTAATCAAAGAAGTCCCCACATTTCCCGTTCTGGACTTCAGAGCTGCTACAGACCCGTGACCCCTGTGCCTCGTGCTTCCCTCAGGTGAACAGCAGGGCTTCCAGTGGCCATCCTGTGCTTGCCCCACCACTGTGTGGTCGCGGAGGGACAGGTGACTTGTCCTCGAGTTCACAGTTCTGTCTCTGATCAGGACTGCACTCACGGTGTTGTACTCAAGGAAGTGCGACCATTAGGCCTCATTTGCCTCTAGATCTGATTTGGACGACAGCACCCCAGCTTCTGAACAGATACTGTAAAAGTGAGGCTTCTGGGCCATCGAGGGAGGGGTGAGCGTATTGTGCATGTGGCAGGGATGTAAACAATCTGGCTAGCGGGCGGATTATGGCGGTTTTAAATATGTCCACATATTCCTCGTTACTTCTCCCTTTAAGAGGTGTTGTTTCCAAGCCACCGCCCCACATCGAAGTATATGGGTTGGACTTATCGACTTGTTTCAAGAAAACTGAATAAGGTGGATTGTCAGTGTGTGACTTAAGACTAGGTCATAAAATACACTGTGGCCTCCTCCTCCTCTTTGGGGCCACCCGCTCTGGGGGAAGACACCATTCCCAAATAGCCTTCACCTAGTTTCCTGGCACGGCAACATCTTCTGTAACTATGACACAGTCGTCAAACAAAAGGTTAACACCAATCCATTACCGTTAACTAAGCTCAAGCCTCGTTCTCATTTCCCGTTTCTCCACCGTCTTTTTTGCTCCATGATCTAATTCAGTAAACCACACTGTCTTTACTGACTTCACGGTAGGAAAACGGAGGCAGTAGGCCAGGCAGGATTACTGGCTGCTCCGTGTACTTGCCGTATTTATCAAACTGACAGTGTCGCGGCCCAGGAAACAGAGGCTCTACCACACTAGAGAAGTGTCTTGGACTGAAGTGCTGCCCCCAAAAAGATACGTCCAGGCCCTAGTTACTAAAACCTGTGAACATTACCTTATTTGGAAAAGTAAGTTATGAAGTACCTTGCAAAGAAGAGATTACCCAGGATTATCTATCTATTACTCTCTATTTCTCTCAGGGTCTGAAATGAGATTAATTCCTATGATCCTGCTACAGAGAGTGGTAGCTGATTTACCTTTCCTTTGGTTTATCACTGCTCTTCCTTTCGTAAGTGGCGTGGTCATGCCTCGTTGGATCATAATGTATGACATCCCTGTGTAAACAACAGACAGGAGTAAGCTGGCAGACAGAAATCAGAGCTGAATGCAAAAAATTAATAGCAAACTGTAATTCAACATCGGGGCAATTCCAATTTTTTTTTTTTTACTTTTTTAAAGATTTTATTTATTTGACAGAGAGAGAACAAGCAGGGGGGAACGGCAGGCAGAGGGAGAAGCAGGCTTCCCGCTGAACAGGGAGCCCGATGCGGGACTCGATCCCAGGACCCTGGGGTCATGACCTGAGCGTTAAGGCCAGACGCTTAACAGACTCAGCCACCCAGGCGCCCCAGGATTCTAATTTTTTTTTTTTTTTTAAGATTTTATTTATTTATTTGAGAGAGAGAGACACGCAAGAGAGGGAACACAAGTAGGGGGAGAAGCAGGCTTCCCGCGGAGCAGGGAGCCCGATGCGGGGCTCAATCCCAGGACCCTGAGATCATGACCTGAGCCGAAGGCAGACGCTTAACCGACTGAGCCACCCAGGCGCCCCGACAATTCTAATTTTTGAGCAAGACAAAACCACACAAAGAAAACTATCAGGATCTTGTTAGAAGTTCATATTTTATAAGCTACCTAGTTTTGAGTTTCCATGAGTCTTTTTTTTAACATTAAAAATTAATTTACACATACTAAAATAAATATGGCTAAAACTGGATCTGCATAAAGTGTTTTAGTGGGGAAAGTGGGGGAAAGTGAGTGAAGGTATAGAAAGGAAAACTGGGGGCTGCTGGCTGGCTCAGTCTGTAGAGCACATGACTCTTGATCTCGGGGTCGTGCGTTCAAGACCCTGTTGGGTGTAGAGCTTATTTTAAAGAAAAACAAACAAACAAAACCCCTAAAAAACAAAAGAAAGTAAAATTGATCACATGTTGGTGACTACCGAAGCTGGTTTACAGGGCTTTCTAAACACCAGTCTCTCTTTTTTTTTTAATTTATTTGAGACAGAGAGAATGAGAGAGAGAGAGCACATGAGAGGGGGGAGGGTCAGAGGCAGAAGCAGGCTCCCCGCTGAGCAGGGAGCCCGATACGGGACTCGATCCAGGGACTCCAGGATCATAACCTGAGCCGAAGGCAGTCGCTTAACCAACTGAGCCACCCAGGCGCCCCTAAACACCAGTCTCTACAAATTATGTGTTTAAAATTTCCGTAACGAAAAATTACACTGATACAGTTCCACAGTTAATACTTAAACCACTGTCCAAGCTGCTTCCCTATCGAAAGCAAGGCCGCTATGACATGTAAGCACAAAAACAGAGAAAAAATTTAAGATTAGTTTCTCGAAGTGCGCCACTGGGTCCAAGATAATATGTTTGTAAGGGTCTGATACATTTTGCCAACTGCCCTCCCCAGGACGTCTAAAACGGCCTAGTTTTAAACCGAGTTCAATAATGAAAACAGGGTGAAACGGGATGGAACATAAGCCATACCTAAATTTCTTGGCAGCTCCGGATCCTTTATGTGCAGAACTGCTCACGGCGGTGTGCAAAACACTCTGCACGATGTTCAGGGCTTTGAGCTTCTCTGCAGCAAGTTCCTCTTCCTCCGCTGTTCTCTCATCATTTACCTCTTAGAGGGAAAGGGGGAGTTAGTAATCTCTTGGCAAACGTAGCTTGAGCGGTCTCAATAATCAAATAATCATAAAGCACCTAAACATGGGCAAAGCACAGTGAAAGAGGAGAAAGAAAAGTCCAACCCTGTTTTCCTAACCTCCCCAACCCCATGACTCTCAATGCCACAGGGAATCCAGAAGTCACATGACCAACAAATGAAAAGTCCCATTTCCACCTGTAATTATGAAAACAAAATCTACAGTTGATGGCTTTCAGTGGCAAATCAAAGTTCTTAAGATAAAGCTCGACAAATGCAACAGAGCAAGATACTAATCACAAAACCACAGTGATTACAGCCCGATTTTTTACCGCTCTAGAAATGTGACTTAAATTACCTATCAACCTAAAAATGAAAGGTAGTGAAGGATGGCAATTCTCCTGACTTATAACACCTTACAAGACAGTTGCTTGGCCTCTGCTTCAGTAACAAATGCTGCAGGAAGAGAGCCATGGGTCCTACACACACAGGGCATTGTGGGCCCAAATGCTGTTATCTTCAACTACAGGAAACACAAACATCAGACAACAAAGCAGCTAGTCTGGATTACAGGCCAAAATACAGAGGCGGTCTAAGCCTGGAAGACCCCTGAACTCACTGCAGAAGACAAGCAACCATGTAACAGATACCAAAATAAGACAGTAATTTGAGTCAGTTCTCTACAGAAATACCTCAAATGTCTAAGGGTTCAAAGGAGGTAGAGAGAAGGTTCAACTGCACCAAGAAAAGCTTTATAAACCAGGTGGAGTCTAAGGCAGGAAACACCAAGTGGATCCCCTAAGGGGAGGGCCTGCCAGGTGCAGGAAACAAAACGAACACACACACTGAAGAAAGTGCAAAGCGTTTACATTAGGTTGGACCATATGAATGTGCTAACATGCAACAGCTTTCACTTTGATGTACAGGGAAGGCTGAAGCCACGGGGAACCTAAGAACCCTAGGAAGAATGTACACGTAGAGGCAAAGGGAAAACCAGGAACCAAGAATGAGGAAGAAAACAAGAGTTATGGTGTGTGGGAGCAGAGGGAAGAGAACATCTCGAGGTGGTGAACAGGGACGAAAGCCACAGGCAGGCTGGAGGCTGAAGCTGGAGGAAATGCCACTGCGCTTGGTGAACGGGCATCCATGGCTGTGAGACACAGACCGAAGAGCCAGAAGTTCAGAAAGCAACCTCTGGACGTGGCACTCAATGCAGGCTATTCCACGGTTCTGTCTGCCCCTGCCTTCTCGAGGAACTGTGAGCAAGAAGCTCTGAAACACAAGTTGGTGTGGACCCTGGGGAATTTTCTCTGAACACTGGTTTCCAGAAACGTACACTACACTGAATAATCACCTCAAAGAAGAGCGGCTGAGTCAGATCAGAAAGTGCATTTTCAACAAAAAGCCACTTCTTCTGAATTAGCTGCAATTTACTTTTTAATTTCAAGTTTAGAATGCAAAAGATGGGAATGGCAACTGGAAATCCGGCAGAGTGGAAGGAATGGCTTTTTGGGGGACCTAAGGCCTGTGTCCGCAGAAAGAAGGGCAGGATGAGCAGGCCCGTGAGCAAGGGTAACAGGAAGTACGCATGGTGAGGCCTAAGGCTCGGGGTAGATTAACTCAGGAAGGAGAGAAAAAGGTGTGAGGATAGAGAAGTCCGGAGACGGGAGAGGCAAGCAGGCGCCCCACTTGGAGGGCCGCCCTCCTGGCCAGGCGGGACGTGAGGGCTTTTTGGACGGGTAAGGCAACAGGTCGTGTGGAGACGGTCTGGCGCTGCTGTGAAGGAGAAAGTCCTAGGGAGCACCACCGGCTGGGAGATGCACCCACGTCGGGAGGACTCCAAGCGGAAGGGCACTCCGTGCTCACCGCTGCTCCAACACTGCCTCCCCCGCACGCCCCGCGGAGGGAAGGCGGGTGCTCAGCTCCTCCCCCAACCTCACCAGGACCCACTGCACTGCTGCCAGGTGTGTCCCCCCCCCGGCCCCTGGGCCAGGGCCAGGCCAGAGGGAGACAGTCTCTGTGGATGCCATCCTCTCCTGTCCTTCGGGCAGCTTCACGCTCGAGGAGGACTGCGTAAGCAGCCCAGAGGTCACAGGCCTCACAAGGCTTGGGGCGCAGTTTCTCCTAGACCAGATGACTTCTCAGGGTCCCCCAGCTCCGACAGCGGACTGTTTGGACAGGGAGGTATTTACCTTCCTGTTCCTCTTCACTGTCACTCTCCAGAAACCGGGAGTCCATGCGGAATCTGTCGTCAGTGCCGAAGTGAGACTGCAAGTCCAGGAGCTGCACAGACACATGGGCAGCTGGGAGCCACATTCCCAAGACCGCGCTCCCACAGAAGACCCTCCAAGCACACCTCCTTCACCCTGGAATTCCCTACATTAGTGTCTGCATAACCTCACCGACCCACGAACCATCCAAATAAGGTTGCACGTACCCAGATGGGAACACCATTCAGCAACAAGGACATGTTGTAGGTGGGATTACTTTTCAGTCTTCACTAACCTTCTGCCCAGCTCTGCCCTCAAACTGAGGTTTAATTCTGAACCTGTGACTGTCCTCGGAGCCAGATTCTTCGTCTTCACTGCTGTCAAACAGCCTCCCAGATACTCTGCTCACGGACTCCTGGAACGCAGATGCACACGGGAGTGCTTATTAACAACGGAGGCGACCTGCAATCCCTTCTTTCCAGTCTTCCTCTCACACTGAAGACCCAGAAACCCAGATGCATCTCCCAGGACCTGGGTCCTAATCTGGAGGCTCCCGTGCAGCCCGCATTGGGGGAGGGGTGCAGTCACTACAGAGCATGCTCTCTGCAGGCTTGCACCAGTATGGATGCCTCCTGGCAGATGATGTGGAGGACATCTTCACGTGGGGAAAATCTGGTATCGGTATGTGTGGTGGTCGGGGGTGCCAGGGGGCTCACTGTGGCTCGGGAGGACTTGGTGTTGAAAGTGGCAGTTGTCGGAGGTCTTGGTATGCAGGAGGCAGAAATGGACCTGCGAGAGTGGCGGAAAGCCTGCATGGACTTCCCGAGCTACTTACCTTCAGGGGCTCCTCTCCCAGGTGGTTTTGCTCCTCTGTCTCGCTGTCAGAGCCAAAGATGATGTGTGTTGGCTTGTCCTCTGGATGACCATCCTAGAGCAGTTGACAAAGGCACCACCTTAAGACAGCCCCTTCTCATCCCTTAGAGTGAACGCCACCATCCACGTGTTTCCCAAGATGGAAACTTGAGACTTCTTCCTCTCCGTGTCCAGTTGGTCCCCAAGTTCCAGGTGTGGACGCTGCTGCTATCTTTTAAGTCTATTCCCACTGTCACTGCCTTGGTTCTGGCTAATTACCTCCCAGACACTCCCTGGTTCCAGATTTCCCAATCTGACCTATTGTTTGTCATGGCCTAAACAATCTTTCCCAGATCCGAGGCTGGTAAATGTTTTCTGTAAAGGACCAGAGAGTAAATATTTTAGGTTTTGCAGGCCACATATAATCTTGGTTCTTCTTTTTAAAAACCCTTCATAAATGTAAAAACGTTCTTAGCTTGAAGGCTGTACCAAAATGGGCCACAGGCTGGATGGCTTGTGAGCCACAGTGTGCAGATTCCTGTTCTGTTATATATGCAGCGAGTCTTCACCCCTTTCCTTTCCACAGCCACAGAATAAAGTCCAACCTCCACAGCCTTCCCACCACTTGCCCTGCTCCTCTCCCGAGCATCCTCATCTTCTGTACATCTGTTACACTGACTGCAAACTGCTCCCCTCCCATGGAATGCCTTTCCTCTCCCTTCCCGCCCTCCTGCCTCTGCCCAACCAGTTCACACTGATCCTTCTTCCTTAGACTCCATTCAGGCTGAGGAAGCCCCTGCCCTTCCTCCTGGCTGACTTGCTGGGGTGCATGGGCACTCTTCTCTCTGGGCCCTGTGCCCACCACTCTGTGAGCCAACGACCGCCATAGGCAGGGACCACGATCCTCATCCCGGAAGTCTAGCACTAACTGTGAAGGCCTGGGACTTCACAGACACTTACGGTTGTTGAAAGAATGAATAAAGTCAGTATCGTGAATCTTAATGAGATTAAATCACTGGTGACTTATTTGCAAATTCGGACACGTCACTAAACTATGCCAGTTATAGCTTCCAAACGAAAAGAAATCATGAGGAAAAATTGAGGTTAAAACAAGTAAGAATGTTTTCAGTAAACAGAGTTCAAACTCAATGTCTCTGGTATATACTAAAGACATAAGGCGACAAAAGCTTCTAACTCGGGCGCCTGGGTGGCTCAGTTGGTTAAGCGACTGCTTTCGGCTTAGGTCATGAACCTGGAGTCCCGGGATCGAGTCCCGCATCGGGCTCCCTGCTCGGCAGGGAGTCTGCTTCTCCCTCTGACCCTCCCCCCTCTCATGTGCTCTCTCTCTCTCATTCTGTCTCAAATAAATAAATAAAATCTTTAAAAAAAAAAAAAGCTTCTAACTCAAGGGACACAACATGAAACAGGTGGGTGCTGGGATAAAGAGCTTGGAGGGGCACGCCGACCTTCAAGGGAAGGAAGGGTGGCCTCGTGGCGCCCACACTGGGAGAGCACTCACCAAGTCTGCCAGGGCGTCATGAACCAGCTTCTTCCGCACTTCCTTTGCTTTCTGCCTTGCTTCCAAGGCTGCCAAACGCTTCTGATTGTCTTCAGCATGCTTCTCCTTAGTGTGAACATCGGACCAAATGTTCACAGAAAGTGGGAAGTTGGTGTTGCTTCCCCGAGCGTCTCTCCTGGAGGAGCCCTCCAGTGCTTTCCCAGGCGCCGGGTGGCTGCTCTGTCCGGAGCCCTCTCCGGTCTCCCGGGTCCTGTGGCGGCAGTCTCCGTCAAAGTCTACCTTGGGGGTTTTTGCACCAAGACTTAAATATTCCTTATCTTTTAACGGCAAAAGACTAGAAATAGGATTCCTACCTCCCTCTTCCAAACTGCTAGGGGACACCATCTTGTGATCCTGGCTCTGGAAAGGAGAACGTCTCTTTTGAGGCCGAGTTTGGTTTGGGTCCTTGGTCTTCTTTGCATGTTGGAGAGGAGTTAGTTTGCTTGATGGGGACCCCTTCTCCATCGACATGCTACTGGGATCAAGTTTCAAGGAATTCTGATCTTTATTTGTATTGTCAGAGGCAACAACCTCTTTCAAGTGTTTTTTTATTGATTCCTTTCCATAGAGACAGCCTACTCCCTTGAAAGCCTGGAATTTTGGCTTTAAGTTGTTTTCCTTCAGTTTCTGTTTTCCACAGGTGTTCTCTTCTCCTTCTAAAAGGGCAGCCACAATGTCCTCGGGACAGATACATGGCTGGGCTGCTCTGTGCAGGCCACCCGGAGTCCTGTCACACTTTGCGGCGGTCTCCTGGCCACCGTGCTCAGGATCTTCTTCGGGAGGCTGCAGGATGCCGCCAGCCAACTGTTCCAGATCAGCTAAGGTGAGCTGCACACGGGGGCAGTTTTTCATCATGGCATCATACTCCTCATCTCCCGAAGACTCGGCAGATTCTGATGCAGAGCCTGCCTCTTCCCTGCTGCTGCAGTGGGCTGTGACCCTGGGACTGACGGCTTGCTCTGGGTTGTTCTTTCTTTTTCGCGCTTTAACACAGTTTTTTCTATTTCTCAAAGACGTTTTCCTGTGTGCAGACTTTTCCATTTGTGAAAACTCTGCATTGTTTTTGACCTCACTGGTCTTTTTCTTTGCTGCGATGATCTCATCTGTATCTCCTGAATCATAGTTGCAATCGTTTCCCAGGGCATTACCATTCCCATCCCGGCAGGAGACATTACTGACACCTAATGCTGTTACAGAACGCAACTTATGAACACCTGACCTGAAGTCCCCCCGTACGACTTCAAAGGGCTCATCTACAGAGTCACCCACTGAGGACCATGTAGTTTTCCCCAGGCTTTCCTCTCTTGCGATCGGTAATCGCATCTCTTCTTCAGACATGTGATTTCTGTGCCTGGTAGTTCCTGTGCCAGACGTCTGAACGAACACACTGTTAAGTTTCTGGCTGTGAGAAGCAGGGACACAGGGCAACTGAGCAGTAACGGGCTTACAGGGTGCTTCCTGTGCCACCTCTTGTTGTGTGGGATACAGACTCCCTGGGACCATGCGGGGTCTTGCTCTCACAGCTGGAGAAGCAGCGGACGCCTCGTCCTTTTGCGCTTTGATCCTCTTCCGGGGGGGGCTGTGAACAGCACAGAACTCCCCTCGTCGCTTCTTACTCATAGGGTCATCCCCTCCTTCCAGTTCCCAGGTAAGGCTGGACACAGGGGTGGCATGAGTGACATCCTCTGCGATCTTCTTTAAGTTGTGGCAGTATTTTGATGGGTCGTACTTCATGATGTTACCAGAGTCAAGGAACAAAACAGAGGCACTAGGTTTTAGGAAAACCTATCAATGTGGTGAAGCACAAGGAGTACTGTTTGACCTCGAGCAGGTCACTTACTCGGCCTACCCTCCCTTTCCCATCAAACACAATGAGCACTTCACTGGGTGACCTCAGGATCTGTGGCACTGGCATGTCTAGAGTTAAAACAGCACCATCACGGTTAACTGGCACAGCAGCAAACCCATACAGGTTCTATTCCAGGTACAGGGGCCACATGCGGTTTTCTGTAAATCTGAGTTGGTACTGTAAAGCAGAGTACAGAGGGGCACTCTGCAGGGCACAGCTGGACGCTGCATGTCCTTTACTCCAACTGCTTTTGGCCATTCCTGCCTCCTCAGTCCTGGTTCTCCCAGCCCAGTAACATCCATTCCACATTCTGCTCACTCTCTGCATCTTGTAGGTCTTTATTAGGAAGCTAGTAATTCTTTCCTAGGCCTGTTTTGTCGCTGACATTGTCCATAAAAAGCCTAGTTAATGTCAAAGTGCTGTGACGACAGCTAGCATTTGCTGGTTTCCTAACACATATGAATAGGCAAGTGTAAGTTGCTTTCAGTGATCAATCCTGAAAAGTCCTTCTAGGACTTTTAGTAAGAACTAAATTAGCATCTGGTAACTACTGAATGCGTGCCAAAAACGTGAGATGTGCCAGGCAGTGTCTCTTGTCAGCTTCACACTGTCCTTCAACGTCCTCCTCTTTGCTGTTGTTGGTGGCTGCCACAGAGGGAAGGCTGACAGGAAGTGAGCTTTCCCGGACGTTAGCGCCAGGAGAGCAGAAGCAGGTGTGGCCAGTTTTCCAGCGGCCCCAGGGCACAGTAGCTGTGAGCAATGAAGACACCCCCCACCTCCGCTTCTCTAGCCCCAGGGTGTTAGCGGTCTGCTGCAGTTATTAATCTCGGACAACCTGCCCATCAGCTGCATGCTCCCCCAGCACCTGCTGAATCCAACTGTTTGTACTGCATCCCCTCGGGAACGCCTGGAGCTGCTTCTGTTTCCTTGACTGGCACACAGGGTTACAGCTTGCCCACAAGTCCATGATGCTGGGAATTCACGGTCCCCGACAATCTGACTTCATTTCCTCAAGGGAACAGGCCTCCATGTTTGCTCGTCCAGGATGCACACTACTTCTCCACCCACCGTTCTCCTGCCCATCTACATATTCCTACCTACTGCTTTTCTCCTGCTTGGTCTTCTTCCCACCACTTTCTACCAATGTAAACCATGCCCCCCACCTCCTCCAGCGCCTTCTTCAGCCACAGCAGAGTCCCCTCGCCCTTCTTTGGCACCTTGGGCAACGGCTTTGAATCCATGTCAATCAAGACGGGGGATGTAAAAGTTAATCAATACAAGTGCTTCTCTGACAAGTGTCACTTTTGTCACTCACTAGTATAAAGCCTCCTCACAGTCTCTCATGAACCTCTCATTGTTTCACACGTGGAAGCAGGTAGGTCTTACCTTGCCTAGAAATGGGGAACATAACCTTTAAGCATCTAAGATTTACTGACAGAGGCAGGGAAATTCTAGTGGGATGAAGTGAACTTCTGCAAGTATCCATCACTGTGGTAAATAATAGTTACTCTGAAAGGCCAATTGCAAAGGATATTTTACGTTTATGTTGATTCTTTAGGTGAAGGACAGGTAATACTCTTCCAAATTTACTCACAACCCAATTCTAAAAGAAAAAAAAAGAATACATTTACTATGTATGTCACAAACGGAAAAGATTAACCACACTGCATAAACACAACTTTAAAAAAAAAATTCACACTCATAGTGGGCCATATTACTACTGTTGGGTTTTGTTTTGTTGTTGTTTTTTTTAAAGATTTTATTTATTTATCTGACAGACAGAGACACAGCGAGAGAGGGAACACGAGCAGGGGGAGTGGAGAAGGAGAAGGGAGTTAGGAAACCAGCAACAGACCAGCTCCTGAGCAGGGAGCCTGATGCGGGGCTCGATCCCAGGACCCTGGGATCACGACCTGAGCCAAAGGCAGATGCTCAACGACTGAGCCACCCAGGCACCCCACGTTGGGTTTTGTTTTTGATGATGAAACAGGAGTTCACAAAAACAGCGTATAAGGAAAGAAAAAAGAAGGACAAGTGGGGCAGCTATCAGTCCCATATAAACCATGTAGGGCACTAACAAAAACACTAATCATTAAAAAGGCAAAGTTGGGACCAGCCTGTATGCCTCACCACCAATGTCGCTTGGGAGACCCACCTCCATTTGGGTTTTGATTTCTTCCTGTAAAATGAGGGGGCACTGTGCGTTCCCAAGACTTGTAAATGCACTGTGAAAACCATAAAGCACTGCCTATGTTAAGTGCTTCAAAGCAAGGGAAAAAGCAACTGCTCAAGACATGGCACCCATGGTTCCCTGGTCCCAGGACTCGGTTCCTGGGCTACTCAGGCTGCCAGTGAGACTCACCTTGTGACCTGGCACTTCTGTCCCTGGCACAGCTTTCACATGGAAATCCACCACTCCCAACTTTTCCAAAAAGCTGGTGTTGTCTATTGTTGATTTTTCTTTCTTTGCCTTTGATTCTTCTCTCTCCTGGGCCAATCTGAAAAAAAAAATATAAATAAGAGTTAAAATAACCAACCATGCTATTAAGTGTTTTGTTTTTAATACCGTAAAGCTTCTGACTTTATAGTGATCATTTAGGGCCTCTCAATTTTCTCCTGCTTACTTTTAGCATTTTCTCCATCCTCAATCCCTTCACTCTTCATGAAGAAGAGGTGTCTTTGAGAGCCCAATCTGCCAAGGCCTGATTATTTCTACCCTCTTAATGAAGAGAATGCAGAATGCCCTCGCAACCTTCCAATTCAAACTCCCCCACCTTATTCAGGCCTGGAGAGCTGCACTGACCAGTCCTTAGGGGCCTCTTTGCCCCTGGTCTGTCTCTTTTACATTCCACTTCCCAGAATGATGGTCAGACTCAAGTTCCTCAGGCATGCCTGCCCAGACACTCCAAAGTAGCAGCACAGCATGCCCACCCTGCTCAGGACCAGGGCTCCGGTTCCTGCAGAGAGTAGGCAATGAATTGCTACGGAATAAAGTCCCATCACTACGCTGTTCACAGAGGCCCTGAGTGGAAGAACAGAGTCAGAGTCTCACCAGACCACTCCTTCAAAATATGCCTTCAGTAGGCTGCTTGCCACTTGTTTCAGACCCTGCCATTTCCTGGGCCTAGAACAATCTAACCAACCTTCCCAGTCGCTCCAGCTGTACATCCCTGAACTATTTCCAATTTAGAAATCTCCCAAACCCATATAATCTTTTCTCTCTGACAATAATACCTTGCAGGATCTTAAAATGCTCTAATGGTTATTACACTGTCTTGTTCTTAAATCACTTGCATAATTAATCTTATGCCTCTCATACAGGGACTTCCTATTATCTTCGTGTCTTTATATGACTCTAGCATTAACAGCCAAAATCAACATAAGCAATTTGCTAGTGTCTATTAAAATGTTAAATGTACATAATCCTATGATAAAACAACTCTCCTGTGGACATAAACCCAAGGAACCCATGGACTATGCAGGAGCCATTCTCAAGGGTCAGCTATTATGAGAAGTGGAAATAGTCTAAATGTCCATCATCACAGGGGGATAACCAAATACCCTGTGGTATAGCTATTTTCGGAAACAGTACTAAACAATCGCTACAAAAAAGGGGGAAGATCTACATCCCCAGAGAAGGCTGTGTTTACAAAGATGAAATAGGTATATATTTTTTAAGTTAAAACACATGTTGGGGGTGCTCAGTCGGTTAAGCATCTGCCTTCGGGCTCAAGTCATGATCCCGAGACCCTGGGATGGAGCCCCTGCTCCCCGCCAAGCCTGCTTCTCCCTCTCCCTCTGCTGCTCCCCTTGCTTGTGAGCTCTCTCTGTCAAATACATAAAGCAAATCTTAAAATAAAAAACCATGTAAGTGCATTGCATTATCTTTTTTGGTGGGTCTGGGGTCGTGGGGAGTCACAGTTGAAAGGGATTTTAGCTCTTTTTTTTTTTAAAGAAAGGTAATTTTATTTTTAAGATTTTATTTATTTATTTGAGAGAGAGAGAGAGAGCAAGAGAGAGAGAACATGAGCAGGGGGAGCGGCAGAAGCAGGCTCCCCACTGAGCAGGGAGCCCGATGCGGGGCTCGATCCCAGGACCCTGAGATCATGACCTGCGCCAAAGGCAGTTGCTTAACCAACTGAGCCACCCAGGTACCCCTGGTTTTAGCTCTATTTGTAATGTTTGAGTTTGCCAAGTATATAATAACATATTACTTGATAGTTTCAATCAATTAAGTGAATATATAAAACCATTTACAATAGAACAAAATAGAGTTTAAATCCATGCAGAACAAATCTTACCTGTGCAAAAAACTTTCTTTTGCTAGCTGAATTTGTAGTGTTCCACCTTTCCATTTTGTTTTATTTAAAACAGACATACCTGTAAAGTAAAGAATTATTACTCAAATACATGGCAATGCAAAAATATATGGCAGCGCATGTTTTTTCTAATTAGTACCAAGAAAAGTACATGTTTTTCAAAAAGAGACACAGAATAAAAAAACCACGACCGGGCGCCTGGGTGGCTCAGATGGTTAAGCGTCTGCCTTCGGCTCAGGTCATGATCCCAGGGTCCTGGGATCGAGTCCCGCATCGGGCTCTCTGCTCCTTGGGAGCCTGCTTCTCCCTCTGCCTCTCTCTCTCTCTGTCTCTCATGAATAAATAAATAAAATCTTAAAAAAAAACAAAAAACAAAACCACGACCTGGGGAGAAAAGACCTAGGTCCTGGTCTCAGCTGAGCCAACCACCCCAGGAGTCCTTAAGCTCCTTATCGTCCAGCGTTCCTAGAAGAACTGAATGAAGCAAATGTGTAAAATGTAAAGCGAAATTTATCATTCCTCCACAAAGTGATACCAGAAACCTCTGGTGAATGACTGACATTTATTTAACATTTTATTGTTATCTCCCACACTAAAACTATAAAACGTGAAACGTAATTTCAGAGGGTGAATCAGAAGACAATGAAATCCTGTAGAACTTCTATTTATCAGCCCACAGTAATTATCGCTGTGTAACTTGCAAATAAATTAGCGGCAGATGACTGAACTGTGTTTCGATTCCTACGCCCCAGAAGCTGATTTTTCTCAATAGCTGCTCTCAGCTTTGTTAGTAATAACCACAAGCAGAATTTCTACATGGTCGGTACTACACTAAATACTAACGTATTACTCAATTTAATCTTTGCAGTGATATCGTGAGGTCAACGTTATCTTTGTTATATACCAGGTAAGTAAACTGGGGCTTCTAGTTTAAACAACTTGTCACAGGTCACAGCAGAGCTGATGTGCTCTTCACCACCACTTATTTCTCACTGAACGAGAGGATAGATCAGTTTTTTTCCCAATGAGAACAAAGAAGGCTGATGGACCTCTTTCTCCATTAGCATGTTCTCTTTTCAGTGTCTTAATTTTTCAGACTCTAGTAACTCACACACATTCTTGCATCAGTGGCTGTACCAACTATCTCCCCCTCCTTCTTTGTTGAAGGCCAGTTTGCCCTCAGCTCTACTAACTTACTGATAGAGATTTCATAATTTTAAGGATATGGTCTTACAGGGCATACTGTGAAGCCCTCTCCTGATGGTGCTTAATGACAAGAATTAGCTGCCTCAGAAATGAACACACCAGGGAGGGGGAGTATGGCATAATATCCAGTGGGCTATGTGTTAACAGGCAGTTTCTATGAACGTGTTCTCTTGTCCAAAATATTTGAGAATCCATTTTTGAGCAATGTGCTGCCATATGTCTGCTTACACCAAATGGGATGGACCTAAACCTGCTGAATTGTAGGGTGTTGGAATTCTCTCAACCATGGCTATTTTTCTGGATGTTTTGCAAGCGGCTGTTAAGGTTTAGATTTAGAACCAAAGTTATTCCAAGTTACACAGTGACATGAAATGGCAAATAGAATAGAAAGCACATAGAAAGCAAATAGAAAACAAATCTTACATTTGTTCAGATCTGCTTCTGCTACTCTGATGTTGATATATGCAAAGACTTTCTGTGGGTTTCCTAAAAGAAAAAAAAATTATTTAAATTCTTACCCAGAGAACAATGTAAAAATAATCAAGTTTCTAAATTTAAAAAATGACTCTTAGAATCTTACTCTTTCAAAGAAAAATCTTGTTTAGTTTTACTGGATACAAAGATTACATTTTTCTAAGAATGTTTATAAAAATATTCCAGGGACGCCTGGGTGGCTCAGTCGTTAAGCGTCTGCCTTCGGCTCAGGTCATGATCCCAGGGTCCTGGGATCAGGCCCCACATTGGGCTCCCTGCTCCGCAGGAAGCCTGCTTCTCCCTCTCCCACTCCCCCTGCTTGTGTTCCCTCTCTCGCTGTGTCTCTCTCTGTCAAATAAATAAAATCTTTAAAAAAATAAAAAATAAAAATAAATAAATAAATAAAAATACTCCAAAAGAAATTAAGCCATCAGTTAAAGAAGTGTTTCAATTGTTCTATGTTAGTAATATTCTATCCAGCAGGACACCTAGTAAATACTAGAATTCTAGCTTTGGAAATTAACAGTTGCATGTTTCAGAAAGCAGATGTTTTAGAATTTAGAATGTCTTCTGATTTCAGAAATGCAATTCTGGGCAGGTTCCACATTTTACATAACACCTTCAAGGCACAGGGCAGGGGGCTGGCACACACAGACTCGTATCTTGCAATGAAACACGTATCACTTTCAGCGTCAGGGCTAACATTCACTCTGGGGTTCCACTATTTTGTGATACTTGATATAAATTTTATCTGCCTTTAACGACCCACGAAGGACTACAGACTCACCTTGGTCATCTTTTCGTGTGATGAGCTCCACATCAGAAACTTCTCCAAATCTGCTGAACTGATTTTGTAGGTCTGCCTTGGAAATGTTCTGACCAAGGCCACCCACAAATAGGCGCTTCACTTCTCTGTCGGCTTTCATGAAGGCTGCACATACACTCAGTGTGTTCTAGTGAGAAAAACAATCTTCTATCTACTTGGAAGAGTTCTTTCCCTTGGTTCTTCTCATATCTGAAAAAAGCCCCCGACCTCCTTCCCCTGCACCTTGTATGGCAAACTGGTGGCCTGGACCCGTGTTTCATTTCTTCCTGCATTACTTCCGAATTTTATCCCTGGAGACTCTGCTCAAGCCCTAAATCCACGTTTTCCACAAACGCTCTTTGGAACAGCACCTCCTCTACACACACACAGACACAGGTACCGGCAAATTCTTTCCTTCTACATGACCACAATATTGCACTCTACCCCCCCCCATTTATTATGCATACTTTTAGGTGTTCTTCCTTTATTCGTTCACACTTTCATTTATTCATTATTTCATTTATTCACACTTTCATTAACAAAAGCTGACAGAAACGCGGTGTGGCCGGTTAACATGCGGAAGCAGCTCTCCATCCCGGAGCTCCTCAGAGCCCTGACTGCACACACGCTACCATTACGACGCTACGTGGCAACACAAGCCTCTGCAAAACGCTGTTCCACACAACGACAGCAGCTGATACCACAGATACACAGGCTTTTTTTTTTCCACCACGTGCCAGCGTTGTACGAGGCGGTTCGCACGCCTCTCGTTTTCCCGATGAGCAGAGAGGTGAAGGCATCCTCCCAACGCCATTCGGAGAACCAGTGGTGAAGCCACAACTAGAAACAGATCCTGTCTCAGAACCTGTAACTGGTAACGCCGCACCAGGGAACCTGCTGCATTAGGACCGACTCAGGAAAACTCTTCCGGAGTCACCGAGATTTAAGGCCCATCACGAGCCAGGCGCTCGGCTCGGACCCTGCCCTTCCCCAAGAGCGCACAGGCCCTCCCAAGCGGGGCTGGTGCTCCGGGCGTGAGCCACGGCCTACATCTTTCTGGTGGCCTCCCCAGTCCCCAGCCTTCTTCCTCCCGAAGACCCGAAGACGATACGCAGGGGGCTGCCAAACGACCCCGTCACTTCCCGGGCCCCAGACCCACTCCTCACCACGTCGCCTTCGGCACCCAGCGCCGCCCAGGTCCCTAACTTCCAGTCACGTGGCCCAACAGGCGCGGTCTGTCTTCCTTCCTGCTGGATTTCCAATCCAGCCTCCTAAGGTTCCGTGGCCACGCGCAGTTCCGAGTTCTCTTCATTTGGTTTGCGGTCCTCCGGAGTGCCGCGAAGCCTCCGTCATCCTGCCCTCAATGTGCAAAGGACTCAGAACCGAGACTCCCTAATTCGTAGTACAGACGATCAGAGCCTCCGCTTCTTCGACTCCCGGACAAAAAAGCGGAAGCGGCGGGGCGGACGGAAAATACAGAGGCTCCCGGTCACGTGGCCCCGGAACCGCCTCTCCAGTGACGTACTCGCCCGGGTGGACCCAAGGTCCACTGGAGCGGGGTGGGCTGCCGCGCCCTTGGGCTTCGGGTTGGAGCTAGCCGACTCTCTCGGAGCGCGGGGGCCGCTGGGGGCCAGGTGGGGCTAGGACCGCAGCGACGGCCCGAGTCCGGGATACTGCGAGCGGGCGCGGGCGGCACGCGCGGGCGTCCCCCTCCCCCGGCCCCCCGCCGAGTTCCCGGATGGTCTGCGCCGGCAGCGCGGGAGGCTTGAAGCGCCCGGCGAGGCGCGCCCCGCTCCGGCCGCTGCTCGTCAGCGCGGCGCCATGGACGCGCAGCGGGCCGAGGTCCGCGCCTTGGAGGCTGAGATCGCTGCCCTGCGGCGGGCGTGCGAGGAACCGCGGGCGGCGGGGGAAGACACTTGGCGAGCGCAGTACGTGCTCCCGCAGTCCCTGGGGGCGGGTGAAGGGCTCCGCCGGCCGCGCACCCCCCCACGTCTCCCGCGCGCCGGGGGCTCCGCTGTCCACGCCCGGCCCCGCCGCAGCCGAGTGCCGGGCTGGCGGAGGAGAGCGGAAGTCTTCGCCGTCTCCTTCGCAGGCTCCGGGGCGGGCGGCTGCGCGGCTTCCTGGCGTGTGTCGCCGCGGGCCACCTGAGGGGGGCAGTTGACACTGACAGTGGGGCTCCCTTTGAGAAATAACAGGATGGAAGTGTGCGGGAGACTGGGAGCGCTGCGCGGGCGGTGAGGGGAGCTCGCGGGTGTCTGGGGGAGCGCCCGCAGGTGCGTGGGGCGTCCGCGGGAGTGTGTGGGGGGGGAAACGCCCTCAGGTGCGTGGGGCGTCCGCGGGAGTGTGTGTGGGGGGAAACGCCCTCAGGTGCGTGGGGCGTCCGCGGGAGTGTGTGGGGGGGGAAACGCCCTCAGGTGTGTAGGGAGCGCCCGCGGCTGTATGTGGGGGGGGGATAGCCCGCGGGTATTTGTGTGTGGGGGGGGGCCCGCAGGTGTGTGAATGTTGGGGGAGCGCCCTCAGGTGCGTGGGGCGTCCGCGGGTGTGTGTGTGGGGGAGGAGCGCCCGCGGGTGTGTGTGTGTGTTGGGGGGGGATCGCCCGCGGGTGTGTGTTGGGGGGGAGCGCCCGCAGGTGGGAGGGAACGCCCGCGGGTGGGGGCGCCCGCAGGTGTGTGTGTGTGGGGAGGGAGCGCCCTCAGGTCAGTGGGGAGTCCGCGGCTGTGTGTGTGTGGGGGGGAGCGACCGCAGGTTTGTGTGTTGGGGGAAACGCCCTCAGGTGTGTGGGGCGTCCGCGGATGTGTGTGTGTGGGGGGATAGCCCGCGGGTATTTGTGTGTGTGGGGGAGGCCCCGCAGGTGTGTGAGTGTTGGGGGAGCGCCCGCAGGTGTGTGTGTGTGTTGGGGGGGGAAACGCCCTCAGGTGTGTGGGGCGTCCGCGGGTGTGTGTGTGGGGGGAAACGCCCTCAGGTGCGTGGGGCGTCCGCGGGAGTGTGTGGGGGGGGAAACGCCCTCAGGTGCGTGGGGCGTCCGCGGGAGTGTGTGTGGGGGGAAACGCCCTCAGGTGCGTGGGGCGTCCGCGGGAGTGTGTGTGGGGGGAAACGCCCTCAGGTGCGTGGGGCGTCCGCGGGAGTGTGTGGGGGGGGAAACGCCCTCAGGTGCGTGGGGCGTCCGCGGGAGTGTGTGGGGGGGGAAACGCCCTCAGGTGCGTGGGGCGTCCGCGGGAGTGTGTGTGGGGGGAAACGCCCTCAGGTGCGTGGGGCGTCCGCGGGAGTGTGTGTGGGGGGAAACGCCCTCAGGTGCGTGGGGCGTCCGCGGGAGTGTGTGGGGGGGGGAAACGCCCTCAGGTGCGTGGGGCGTCCGCGGGAGTGTGTGTGGGGGGGAAACGCCCTCAGGTGCGTGGGGCGTCCGCGGGAGTGTGTGGGGGGGGAAACGCCCTCAGGTGCGTGGGGCGTCCGCGGGAGTGTGTGGGGGGGGAAACGCCCTCAGGTGCGTGGGGCGTCCGCGGGAGTGTGTGGGGGGGGAAACGCCCTCAGGTGCGTGGGGCGTCCGCGGGAGTGTGTGTGGGGGGAAACGCCCTCAGGTGCGTGGGGCGTCCGCGGGAGTGTGTGGGGGGGGAAACGCCCTCAGGTGCGTGGGGCGTCCGCGGGAGTGTGTGGGGGGGGGAAACGCCCTCAGGTGCGTGGGGCGTCCGCGGGAGTGTGTGTGGGGGGAAACGCCCTCAGGTGCGTGGGGCGTCCGCGGGAGTGTGTGTGGGGGGAAACGCCCTCAGGTGCGTGGGGCGTCCGCGGGAGTGTGTGGGGGGGGAAACGCCCTCAGGTGCGTGGGGCGTCCGCGGGAGTGTGTGTGGGGGGGAAACGCCCTCAGGTGCGTGGGGCGTCCGCGGGAGTGTGTGGGGGGGGGAAACGCCCTCAGGTGCGTGGGGCGTCCGCGGGAGTGTGTGGGGGGGGGAAACGCCCTCAGGTGCGTGGGGCGTCCGCGGGAGTGTGTGGGGGGGGAAACGCCCTCAGGTGCGTGGGGCGTCCGCGGGAGTGTGTGTGGGGGGAAACGCCCTCAGGTGCGTGGGGCGTCCGCGGGAGTGTGTGTGGGGGGAAACGCCCTCAGGTGCGTGGGGCGTCCGCGGGAGTGTGTGGGGGGGGAAACGCCCTCAGGTGCGTGGGGCGTCCGCGGGAGTGTGTGTGGGGGGGAAACGCCCTCAGGTGCGTGGGGCGTCCGCGGGAGTGTGTGTGGGGGGAAACGCCCTCAGGTGCGTGGGGCGTCCGCGGGAGTGTGTGGGGGGGGAAACGCCCTCAGGTGCGTGGGGCGTCCGCGGGAGTGTGTGGGGGGGGAAACGCCCTCAGGTGCGTGGGGCGTCCGCGGGAGTGTGTGTGGGGGGGAAACGCCCTCAGGTGCGTGGGGCGTCCGCGGGAGTGTGTGGGGGGGGAAACGCTCTCAGGTGCGTGGGGCGTCCGCGGGAGTGTGTGTGGGGGGAAACGCCCTCAGGTGCGTGGGGCGTCCGCGGGAGTGTGTGGGGGGGGAAACGCCCTCAGGTGCGTGGGGCGTCCGCGGGAGTGTGTGTGGGGGGGAAACGCCCTCAGGTGCGTGGGGCGTCCGCGGGAGTGTGTGTGGGGGGAAACGCCCTCAGGTGCGTGGGGCGTCCGCGGGAGTGTGTGGGGGGGGAAACGCCCTCAGGTGCGTGGGGCGTCCGCGGGAGTGTGTGTGGGGGGAAACGCCCTCAGGTGCGTGGGGCGTCCGCGGGAGTGTGTGGGGGGGGAAACGCCCTCAGGTGCGTGGGGCGTCCGCGGGAGTGTGTGTGGGGGGAAACGCCCTCAGGTGCGTGGGGCGTCCGCGGGAGTGTGTGGGGGGGGAAACGCCCTCAGGTGCGTGGGGCGTCCGCGGGAGTGTGTGTGGGGGGGAAACGCCCTCAGGTGCGTGGGGCGTCCGCGGGAGTGTGTGTGGGGGGAAACGCCCTCAGGTGCGTGGGGCGTCCGCGGGAGTGTGTGGGGGGGGAAACGCCCTCAGGTGCGTGGGGCGTCCGCGGGAGTGTGTGGGGGGGGAAACGCCCTCAGGTGCGTGGGGCGTCCGCGGGAGTGTGTGTGGGGGGGAAACGCCCTCAGGTGCGTGGGGCGTCCGCGGGAGTGTGTGGGGGGGGAAACGCTCTCAGGTGCGTGGGGCGTCCGCGGGAGTGTGTGGGGGGGGGAAACGCCCTCAGGTGTGTAGGGAGCGCCCGCGGCTGTATGTGGGGGGGGGATAGCCCGCGGGTATTTGTGTGTGGGGGGGAGGGCCCGCAGGTGTGTGAATGTTGGGGGAGCGCCCTCAGGTGCGTGGGGCGTCCGCGGGTGTGTGTGTGGGGGAGGAGCGCCCGCGGGTGTGTGTGTGTGTGTTGGGGGGGGATCGCCCGCGGGTGTGTGTTGGGGGGGAGCGCCCGCGGGTGGGGGCGCCCGCAGGTGTGTGTGTGTGGGGAGGGAGCGCCCTCAGGTCAGTGGGGAGTCCGCGGCTGTGTGTGTGTGGGGGGGAGCGACCGCAGGTTTGTGTGTTGGGGGAAACGCCCTCAGGTGTGTGGGGCGTCCGCGGATGTGTGTGTGTGGGGGGATAGCCCGCGGGTATTTGTGTGTGTGGGGGAGGCCCCGCAGGTGTGTGAGTGTTGGGGGAGCGCCCGCAGGTGTGTGTGTGTGTTGGGGGGGGGAACGCCCTCAGGTGTGTGGGGCGTCCGCGGGTGTGTGTGTGGGGGGGAGCGCCCGCAGGTGGGAGGGAACGCCCGCGGGTGGGGGCGCCCGCAGGTGTGTTGGGGGGGCTCCCGAGGGGTGGGCGGACGCCAGCGGCGCAGAGGAGCAGGGGCCGCTGTGCCCCAGCCCAAGAGATGCAGCGGCTTTTATGGGCACTGTCTTTTAATGCCTAGGACAGCGCAGGGGAAGGTGCCATTGCTAACCCCTCTTTTAGGGTTAAGGAAACAGACTCACGGAAGGGATGTGGCTTGCCCACCATCTCAGGTGAGGTGTGTTAGGTCCGAGCGGGTTTGGAACCCAGGAACCTAACTTGGAAGCCCAGCCGTTTTGCTTAACTGAAGAGGGAGGAGAGGGTCTGTGACAGTCAATTATGCTATTGTCTCAAACCTGCAAGGTGCTTGAGAGAAGAAACTATCTTCATTTTCTCAGTCGAGACTGATTTGACACAGGTGCAGAGAAAGCGATCCTCCTGAGCTAAATGGACAGGAATCAGTAGAAAATGGGAAGGAGGAGTTCAGAAGGAAATGCTCGCAGGCATGGTGGATGGGATCATGACCGTATAGGAAGCTGTAACCGGTAAAATGGGGAGAGAAGTGGGTGACCAGGGAACACCTGTGTTCCTCCACGAGTGAAGTTGTCAGTGAACTGAAGACCGTTGCTGCTCCAGGGCTGCTCCCCAGATCAGAAGCGTTAGCATTACTTGGGAGTTGCATGGAAGTACAGATCCTGGCCCCACCCCACCTGCTGAGTCACAATACCATTTTAACAAGACCCCCCCCCCCCCCCCCCGACTTCCCACTTCCCACTTCAGCATATTTGAAAGTTTGAGAAGCACCTAGTCGTACTGTGCGGAAAAATGATTACTGGCCACAAGATGTCACTGTTAGCCCAGGATAGTGTGTAGACCATTCATGTAATCTGTGCCTGCTCAATGATCCATTTGGGAAAGTAGGAAGAATCCAGATTGTAGAAGACATTACATGTTAGTGCAGGGGGTTTGGGTTTAAGGTGCAGTTTCTTTTTACTCTGGTGGAGAAGGAAAACTGGTGTACCAAGCTTTGTGTGTGGTAAAATGTAACAAAATTTGCCCTCTTAACCTTTTTTACATACAGATGAGTGGTATTACATACGTTGATAATGTTGAGGGACTATCACCACCACCCATCTTCCTTACTCTTTTCATCTTGTAAAACTGAAACTTTAGAACTTCCCTTTCTCCACTCCCCTTAGT